TTCATTTCAAATATCCCCAGGGTCACCCATGGTGGACAAGTTTCAGAGGAGCTTTCAGACTAAGATAGACTTTGAAAAAGGATGGGCCACCCACTTGTGAAAAGCTTGGCCATTGGAAAGTTTATGAGTAGCAGTGAACCACTGTCTGATATATTACTGGAAACTTCATGAATAGCCATGAAACGTCTGATATAGTGCCAGAAGATGAGCTCCTCAGGCTGGAAGGGAAGGCAAATATGACTAGGGAAGTGTGGTCTTTTCAAGGTAGAGTCCACTGTAACGACATAGATGGAGTAAGGCTTTTAGGACCTACATTTCCTGATGCAGCATGTCTTAAAATGAGAAATAAACAATGCAATGTCCATGAATAATTGGAAAGTGGGATGCAGGAAGTATGAATCTAGAAAAAGTAGAAGCCAAAAATGAAATGAACACGTAAAGATAAATGTCCTCGGCATTGTTGTTGTTGTAGTTAGGTGCTGTCGAGTTGGACCCAACTCATAGGGACCCCTCCTTGGGTTTCCGAGGCAGTATCACTACAGAAGAAAGTTGCCCCATGAGCTGAAATTTTAAATCAGCCAATCATATAGTCAACTATTTCAGGAATGAAAAATGGAAAAGGAGTGGTTTAGCATTCATCTCCAAAAGAGCATTTCAAGATGTATCCTGAAGTACAATGTTATCAGTGATAGGTAATATCCATGTGCCTATGAGGAAGACAAGTTAATACAACCATTATTCAAATTTGTGCACCAACCACTAATGCCAATGAGGAATAGAAAATACACCATGGACTGTGAGAAGAATGAACAAACCTGTCCTGGAACAAGCACATTCAGAATACTCCTTAGAAGCAAGGATGGCAAGACTTCATCTCATACACTTTGTACACATTATCAGAAAGAGCAGTCCCTGGAGAAGGTAACCATATAAATAATCAATAAAGTAGAGGGTCGGTGAAAAAGATGAAGACCCCCAATGACATGGATTGACACAGTAGCTGCAACAATGGATGTCAACATGGTGATACTGAGAATGGCACAAGACCAGGCGCTGTTCTGTTCTGTCGTACATCAGGTCACTATGAGCTGGAACTGACTTGACTGCAGCTAATGATAAGAAATCATCTGATAGTAGAATCACACCATATCTGACCTCAGAGTGCATGGCATATGCAAATGAAAAATAGTTATGATTGCTTTCCAAGATGGGATTCTTCCAATTACTGTTTCTATGATAATCTTGTAGTAAGCAGAGAGAACATGACATTTTTGCATTTCCTTTATAGATGTTCAATTGAGAAACATTTAATGTCACATTTTCTATCGTGTGTGTGTGTGTGTGTGTGTGGAGTCCATGGGTGGTGCAGACACACTGCTGTGCTAACTGAAAGGTGGGATGCTTGAGTCCTCTGAGAGGAATTTTGGAAAAAAGCCACGGTGATCTACTTCCAATCTAGGAGAATGGGGTCCTAAATGGTTGATATATTTCATTCTGACCTATATGGGGTCATCATGAGTTAGAAGCAACTCGACCACAATTGGTAATGGTATTGGTGCTATTTGTATGACTTATTAAACCCACACTTTATTTTAGGGTTCTTAATCTTTCATAAACTATTACCCACCCAATGCCATCAAGTCCAATCCAATTCAGAGGGACCCCATAGAGTTTCCAAGCCTGTAAATGTTTACAGAAGTAAGAGTGCCTTGTCTTTCTCCCATGGAGCTGCTGTAGGCTCGAGCCAGTGATGTTTTGATTAACAGCTGAATGCCTTCGTCACAGCACAACCAGAGCTCCTTTCATAACTCTTAGATTGAAAAAAAAAAAAAAAAAGATATCATTGAATGTTCATAATGAAAAAAAATACCATACATCTATTATTCTCTGAGGAGTTATTAGGGATCTATATCCAATGTCCAGTGCTCCATCTGATAACAGATGTATCAATGTCAAATTGTCTTCCTTTTCCTTGTGAGATAGTGAATAACTTATTCAACCATAAACAAAGTGAGATGTACCAAAACTGTGCTTAATATAACTTACATAAGTTAGATTTTGACTACCTAAACCAATAATATTTAGCCCCTGCCATGAAAGTGCACAACGTTTCATTGTACAAAGATGAAATGGTCAAGTCTTCTGTCAGCCCTCTAGGTTAAAGCACACAGTGTATAACAAAGTTCCTGCTCAGTGAAGTTGGATGGGGATTTAGCTTAGTGTAAAATGCAGAGTGATTTAGACTAGTCTTTGTGCAGGTTTTCAGAGCCTGCATTGCTACATCAAGAACTGTATGTGGCACCTCTAAAGGAAAAATGGATTCCCATGTAACAAGACACAGAAGGAGCTTCAAGACATATTTATCATGACAGTTGCAAGGCAAGCATGGTTGCCAAGTAGAATCCAAATGAGGGTTTTATGAGAGAAATGAAAGAGCCCCTCTTTGTTGAGGCCCTGGTTCTTTGAGATCCTAGAGTATTGACAAGAAAATTAAAGTTGAATATATTTGTAAAACTTGTGCATAATGATCCACAGGCAGCATTTGAGGCATGCAGTTGCAAATATGATTCCACCATCTTCAACCTCAATTGTACACATTTGACCAAGCCATAAGATTTATAACTAACCATTTTTCCTGAGAACATTTGTAGATTGCTTAATGCAGACGTATGGCAACATACCTTTATTCTCTTTACGACAACTTATTAGTCAGCTTTCAATAAAAAAGAAGGAAACCACACAAGTTATTTTAATGAAGTTCATTTAATAAAGGTAATTACTGAGACTATAGCCCTTAGACACCCTACAAGCTGGGAACTAAATTCACCTCCATGGCTCAGCTTTCAGCCAAATGATAAACAAGTCTAGAAGCTGAAAATAACACCAGGAAGGTATGCACACATTAGAACAATCAGCCATAAAGTATCAAAAGAGCAGCATTTGCTCAGGGATACAGCTAAGAAGGTAGGAAAGGATAGGAAAGAAGGATGAAGGGAAATGGCAAACACAGGGAGGCAGTGGGAAGAGTGCTGGGGTTCCAGTGCTGGGATTACAATGATGTCACAAAATTGTTACTGAGAATTCAATGAGAACGTGTATGAATTGTTGAATGGAAACCCAATTTTTTCATCTAAACTTTCACACAAACAGCATTATTTTAAAAGGTACAAAAACAAAAAGAAAAACTGAACAGCATAAAAGAAAAAAAAAGTTGTAACACAGAGATACTTTGTGCAGGAAGTAGCAAACCTATGAAACAGTAAGAAATACAGTGACAACTTTGAGATTAATGGGGGTGATGATCTATGAACCACAAGTTCAATTCTGGCCAATGTCATTACAGATCTGTCATTGGAGGCTTGCATATTGCTATGAAACTGAACAGGTTTCACCAAAAATTCAAGAATAAGATTCACTAGAGGGGACCAGGTTTGCTGGTCCGATAAAGCCTACTGGAACCACTGAGACTATGGCCCCTAGCTGCCCTTCAGGTCTGGAATTGAACCCACACCTGTGGTTTCTAGCCAAACAAAATACAGGCATATAAGTTGAACATTTACCTCAAGTAGATACACTCCTTGGAGAGAACAATCATGGGAGAAAGAAGGGCTGCTTATGCACAGGGAGACAGCTCAGGGGGCAGGAGTGTATGGAGGGATGGACACTGGGAAGAGGTAACTATGGGGAGGAAGTGGGAGGGGAGCTGTTGCATTGTGGTAAACTGTGGTCAATGACATGAGACAAAGTATATGTAAACTGCTGTATGGAAAGTGAATTTGCTCTGTAAATCTTCACCCAAATAAAAATTTAAAAAAAAGATGCACTAGAAAGGAAGGTCTGGTGATCTACTTCCAAAAATTGGCCAACGAAAATCTATGGACCACAGCAATCTAATTTGTAACTAATAACTTGAATGTCACAGAACTGGGGAGGTTTTTTGCTTTGCTTTGTTTTGTTTTTTCTTCTGTTGTCCACAGAGTAACAGTCAGAGTGGGGGGAGGCAATGGAAGGAAGCTAACAACAACAACAACAACATAGTGTACAGAGAGAACATGAGATAAAATATATCATGAGAAATAGAGAGCTCTGGTAGCTTAGTGCCTAAGGACTTGACTGGTAACCAGAAGGCTGGAGGTTCAAACCCACGAACCACTCTTTGGAAGAAAGATTGGGCAATCAACTTCCATAGTGAAACCACCTCAGAAACCCAAGGAGAGGTTGCTATGAGTTGGATCCAACTCAATGGCACTGTTTGTGGGTTTGTGTTTGTGTTTTTGTTTTTTTGTCTCATCGGGACTATCGAGAATAATCTTTTGTCTGGTATTAGGGTGAATTTTTCATGTATTTTCCCTCCTGAGCTTTATTAAAACAAGAGTGTGCTCTTAAGGAGTAATAGACCCACAAGAAACTAGTCATCATTGAAGGAGAAGTCTGAAAATATCAGTAGTTCTCACCTTGGCTGCACATTAAAAACACAATGGTGCTTTAAAACTCTTATGCTAAAGCCAAATACTGGTCCAATAAAATCACAATCTGCATTGGTGAAACCAAAGCATCAATAATTTTTATGCTTACATATGATTCCCATATGAAGTCAAGGTTGGAAACAAGTGTCACTCACATACAAAACCTGCATATACACTTTCATTAGACATGAAAGTAATCTCCACAATGGATAGGAATATTGATTAAAAAAAAAATGAGAATTCTAAGAACATAAAAAATAACTTTTCCTTTTACCAGGAAGCCTGAGTACAGATGAGAAAATAAGAAGGCTCCATAGCTACAACCAGATTTTATCAAACAGTTTGACATTGTCCAGAATTCTCCCACAATTCCACTAAACATGTGACAAAGGAAATTAAAGTGTGACATTGAAAGCTATGAGAGCTACAAAAATTAGGTATCCAAAGGGGTGAGATTTTTGATTGCAGATATTTAGTTTGTCATATTTTCCAACTCATATAATAATAATAATAATAAAAGGCACCATATTGGTGTTAGTTTATTCTGCTGAGGAGCCTCTGCAAGGCTGTGCTGAGGTCCCTACTTCTCAGGCTGTAGATGAAAGGGTTCAGCATGGGGGTGGCCACTGTGTACATCACTGGGGTCACTGAACCTTTCCTGGAGGAAGACGAGACAGCTGAACTGATATACACTCCAATACCTGTCCCATAAAATAAGCAAACAACTGACAGGTGGGAGCCACAGGTGGAAAAGGCTTTGTATTTCCCACCTGATGATGGGATTCTCAAAATAGAAGATACAATTTTCATATAGGACAAAAGGATCCCTGAGACTGGAACAGCAGCAAAGATGGCACTAATGCAGTACAGCAATGCGGTACTGGTGGAGGGGTCAGCACAGTCAAGGCGGAGAAGTTGAGGGGGGTCACAGAAGAAACTAGGGATTTCCACATTCTCACAGAAGGTGAGTTGTGACACCATTGAAATGTGCAGCTGAGAATCCAAAAGGCTGATCAAAAAAGATATAAAAACCAGCAAGCCACATAAGCGGGGATTCATGATGACTATGTAGTGTAGGGGGTGACAGATGGCCACAAACCTGTCATAAGCCATTGCAGTTAGGAGAAGACTGTCCAGACATCCAAAACTGGAATAAAAGAACACCTGTGTCAGGCAGCCCACATAGGTGATGGATTTATTCTGTGTCTGGATGTTCACAAGCATCTTGGGGACAGTGGTGGAGGTAAAACCAATGTCAGCCAAGGACAGGTTAGAGAGGAACAAGTACATGGGAGTGTAGAGATGGGAGTCAGAGGTAACAGCCAGGATAATGAGTAGATTCCCGAGTACAGTGACCAGGTACATGGTCAGAAAGAGCCCAAAGAGGAAGGGCTGAAGTTCTGGATCATCAGAGAAGCCCAGGAGGAGAAATTCAGAGACACCTGTTAGATTCTGTGGCTCCATGAACCTGAGACAACTTTGGGGAAAAGAAAAGAGGACTGTTAAAAGGAAACCACTAAACAAGCAACAAGCACTGTGGCAATATTTTGAATTCAAAAAATTCAAAATAAGGTGTTCATATTTGAGGAACAACTACGCCAGTACCTTAAGGACTTTTTCTCAATTGTAGGGACCCATTTGCTCAGAACAGTCCTCATGGTGACCATGCTATTCTCTTGTTTCTGAACACTGACTTTATTTTATTAACTTATTATTAATTATAGTTGGGGTGAAAGTGTACAGAGTAAAGCAGTTTTCCACTCAACCACCTGTACACATGTTGTTTCATGACATCGGTTGCAAACCTCTGAATGTAACAGCACTCTCCTCCCACTTCTTTATTTGGTTCCTCATTTCCATTTCTCTTCCTTTCCCATCACTTCCCACCTTCTCATGGTATTGTTGATTATTGATTTTTGGGCAAATGCTGCCCTTTTCCTCTCTGATGGTTGATTGCCTTGAGAACTACATTGCTGTCTATTGTTATTTGTGTCTTTGTAGGCTTGTCTATTGTTTGCCTGGAAGTTGATCCCTGGGATGAGTTTAGTTCCAAGCTTGAAATTGTCTAAGAGGCACAGTTTTGGGGAATCCATCACTTCTTATCAGCCCAGTAAGTCTGTTGTTTTACCATTTGGAATTTTTTCCATATTTATGTTCTCCCTCTCTGTCTAGGACCTTCTATTGTGATCCTGATAAGAGTAGTCAGTTATGTTCATGGGCACCATCTAGTTCTTCTGGCTGCAGAGTGGTGGAGGTTGTGATTCTCCTGGTCCATTAGCCCTCTGGACTAATACTTTCCTTGAGTCTTTCATTCTCTTCACTCTTCTATATTCTGGATGAGGAGATACCAATACTTACATCTTACATGGCCATTCACAAGATTTTAAGAACCCAGTTGTTATCCAAAAAGGATGCAGGACATTGTCTTGTGAACTATGTTATGCCAATTGACCTAGCTGTCTCCTGAGACTGTGTTCCCAAGTCTCCAAGTCCAATAACCCATTCTTTCAGGGTGTTTGGTAGTACATACACACTTTAGAGATACAAGGCTGAAGAATGTTAGAATAGCAAAAACATTTTAAGAAAATTACATAAAGGTCATAAAATATCTATTGTCTATGAAGGAAACAAGAAATATTCTTCTTAAAAATCAAAGGTAGAAAAAAGATATATCAAGCAAATGGCAACTGTAAGAGAGCAAGAGTGGCAATATTAATTTCTGATCAAAGTGACTTTAAGACAAAAACCACCATATGAGACAAGGAAGGACATTATATAATGATTAAAG